CGAATTGATATCGTAGGTTTTGGTGTCCTGAGGGAATGAGAAGAAAATAGGCCTTGCAATAGGCGTCCCCTTTTTATGTGCCTCGTACATTAGTGTGTAGAATAGAGGAAGTAGCCGGTATCGGAGCCCGAGAACCTTCCTGGCTGATGCAGCCACCGAATCCCAGAGATAAAGCTCTTGACGGATTGCTAACTTTTCGGAGTGGTCTCTCGAAAAAGGATAAAAGGCACCTAGCTGCAATGTAACAAATCATTGCCTCAACTTGACGTTGAATGGAAAAAATACACACACACACACACACACCAACTTGACGTTGAATGGAAAAAAAAAATACACACACATATATGTATATATATACACACACACAAAGATACCATGACACACGTAAATATTCAATCTCTAATGGAAAATAAAACATTTCATCAATTTTACTTGACATGTAGAATATGTAAATATCTCAAGACATTCCAAATTTGTACAGCATGCATAAGAACACATGCGAAGTGAACGAGATAAGTAGAAAAATCATCTTAGACAACTTAGAGGATGATCAAAAAATTAAAGAAAGAAGGCTAATTTAATTATGTAGGCTCATTTATATGTGAATGATAATGTGCATGCAAGAATGAGGAAAAACTTTTCTTTTTTCTCCGTAAAAGATACATACATATATATATATATATCAAATTTATATTAATAGTGAAAGAAAATCCCATCCCTCTGAGACTTTACCTGAATCCATCGCCTGCAAAGCTCCTCAGTGGTGTTTTTGGCGAAACCGCAAATATCAGCTCCAACCATTGGAATTCCAAAGAGCCCAGAGTTCAGAGTAGATGAAATGCTGTAAGCCAAATCATCCCATGTCGCAGCATTATCTCCAGTCCAATGAGCAGTGTACTTACCAGAGCCCACAAAAGTTGATCTAGACACTATAAAGGGTCTTTTACCAGTGACCTTGATTAAAGCCGCATTGGTGGCTTTAGATTCAAGTAAGCCATAAAGATTATGTGCATTGTACTCTGTTATGTTTCCGAAGTGCAAACATGTTGCTGGTATGGTCATATTGTTAATCGGTCGCCGGACTGCATTATTGTTGATTTTGTAGGGAGGGTTATCAAGAGTAGAAGAAGGCGTCGGAGGAGAAGTTATGAAATTGGACGCCTCGTTCATATCAATCCAGAGACCATCAAATGGAAGATCATCATGAAACAATTTGATCTCAGTACCCCAGTAATCTTCAGAAACTGGATTTAAGAAATCAGGGAAGTGAACTGGCCCAGGCCAGACCTGCCCCAAGTAGGGAACACCGTCACGTTTTATGAAAATGTCAGCCTTCATCCCTCTTAGGTAGGTCCCATATGACTCATTCACACCAATTCCTGTGGGCAGCATCCAGAATTATCATAACAAAGTAATTGTTAAGGACAATAAAAGTTAAACTTCTATGTTAATAGGGGAAATACTTTGTGCTTGTTAAAGTATCAACACATACCAGCATCTACGAGGAGCACATATTTTTGTCCATTTGCATGAACTTTGTTAACAAAACGCTTCATCTTTTCTAGTGGAAAGTTGACAGGGT